ACAAATTATTTAAGCTACCCACTTAAAACTGAAAACACTATTGAAATATGATTGAAAAATAAATAAATATATCACTAATAAGTAACGGGATTTCTCATAATGAGCTGCAGTGACGCAATTGAACAAATCAAGTCTGATAACATATCTATATGGAATATATACGTATATATATATATATTACATACGTATATGCCAGTTCGTATCGATCTTATTTCTGTTCACTGCTGACGAGAAAGGCAAAAGACTGAACAGATTTGTGATTATTATCTGGGTTACGAGTACTATTGCCATTGTCGTATTGTCGTATTCACTATCTTATCTAGAAGCAGAATGTGACTACGCAACAGTGCGACAACAATTAAGGTTTATATAACTCAAATAACGGCAAATGACAAAAATTGTGAGTACTCCTATACCAAATCATTATCAGGAGAGATATCTGCTTTATGGAATATTTACTTGAATACTTCGTAGACAAAAATAAAAATATATGTTGAATTTTAATTTTAATGGTTTAGTAAGGGTTGCTCATTTAAACTAAGTCATAATCTACTTCTTTAACTTAAATTTCTATAAGCTAAAAAAAAAATAAACTAAAGCACTTTATAATCTATAGAATATCTTATATCTAATCTTACACTTTAACTCTCTTAATTCTCATTTAGTATCTTATATCTTATAACACTTATATTTTGTAATAGAAGAAGTAAAAATTCAAATAATATGAATATTTGAGAACTATCTACATATATATTTTAATCTATATACATATTTTAATTTTAAAAAATTTATAATTTCTTTTGAAGGAAGGAAAATTTTATAAATTTCAAGAAAGTTGAAATAAAAGACCTTAATATTTATTTTTGTATCGTTCATTTTTATTGAGAACAGTTTGAAAATTCATTTGTTTTTGTATTAGCCAAAGCAGATGTTTCGCTTGCATATTTGTGTTTGTTTTGTTTTTGTTGTATTTAACATTAACTTAAAAACTAAACGCTGTAAAATTCTTGTTGTTGTTTTGTTTTTGTTGTTGCTCCACTTCTTCTTTTTTCTTCTTTGATTGTTATAAATTTGCATTTCGACCAACTTCAGAGATTGTTGTGTGTGATTGTGTTTGTCTAGGTTAGCTTTATATTGGACCACATACAAATACATACATATACATATACATTTACATGTATATGTTTATGTGTGTATAACTATAAATTGTAAATATGTAAAAGTATGCAAAAATTGTATATTTATGGTTTGCCGTATATAAAAGATTATTTTGTATATTAAATTGTTTGTTGTATTTTTTTCCTTTCTTTAATAAATTGAAATTATCTTTATTAATACAAAATTTGGTAGCTCTTGCCTCCGAAAATCTGGTCAACTGCAGATTTTAACTTCCTGTTTTAATTTAGTTTTTGGTCAAAAGTTGTAAATATTTATAATTTTATAGTATATATATATATTTGTTTTCCATTTTATTCTTGGGGCTACTAAAAAAATGGTCGCTGGCTCTTTAAATTTTTACATTGATTTTAATTTATTTATTTATTTTTTTTTAAATATTTTTCATGGCAGTTTTAAATTGTAATTTAAAATTAGCAATAATAACATTTAAATTTGTCTTGTTTTTGGAACAGCGCTAAATGAGATTCGTACTTGGCTAGCATTGGAAAAACTGTAGAATTTTCTTCTCATTTTCATTTGACAAAACGGCATTTATAGCATTCAGCATTATAATTAATTTAAAAAATTATCATAGTTTCAATTATATTTTATGTGTAATAAAAATATATATATAAATATACATATATATGTATATATTGCATTATATGTATATGTATATAATGCAAAATCGCTCGTAATTTAAAGAAAATCCGCTTAGGCGGTAGACAAAATTGTTACTAAATATTTTTGTTTTATTTTTTATTTATATTGTATAAGAAGAAGCTACATTCAAAAATGGTCTTGTATCCAAAAATGTTTACTGTTATATTTAACTCTGTTTAACTTTAATTTTCATTTCGGTGTAATTTGTTGTGGTAGAATATACTTTTCTTTGTTGTTTTATGATTTCTTAGGAAAAAACTTCGTTTTGGTGTTCTTTTTTGTTGTTGTTGTCTTTCCTCCTACATTAGACAAGCGAACGTCTATTACTTGCTATATATATGTATATATATATATATAGTTCATCGAGCCAATTAGTCAATCAATAGCTCGTAGTGAACCGATCCAATTCTGTCCTTGCGATCATGCTTGATGTTGCGTGCCCAGGCCTTGCACTCGACATTGATGATGATGCCACCTGGAGAAAGTCGAGCCATATGGCATTATTTCTGTTACCTAGATATAGATTATATACTCACTCTTGGGGCGCTCAAAGTGAACTGCGACAAGGGGGCTTAGATAGCCCTCGGAGTTTTGATAGGGATAGAAATAGCCGGGAAAGCCGCGAATTGGATAGTATTTGACAACGCCAATATTCTCCTGATCAGCAGGATTCTCACCCTCACAGGATACCCAAATCGTGTTTAGCTAGTTTTTGTATATAAAGAATATAATTAATATCTTTCTAGTAATGGTAAATAATTACAGAATATTATTATTATTATTAAATATTTCATATATATATATTATATATTATATATTATATATTCATCCTAACCTTGATTGGATCTGTCTTCTCCAATTCAGATATGTGGTTCTTCAGACTGCTGGGCATATCTGCGGGCAGGGTCTGTGAGTTGTTGTAGAAATCTGGCCTCCAGTCGTAGATTTTGTTCAACTTGAGGAAAATGCACGGCGAGCTCTTGTGGTAGCTGTAGTTGTTCTCCTTGGTGCAGGGCGCCCAGGCTTTGATGTCCACATCGCACACCTGACCTCTCGGTGGGGGCTGATTGTAGTCGCAATTGTAGATGTTCTGGCCACGTCCTGGTGTCAAGCCAGGGACCTTGTACACTGATAGACAAATAAAGCAAATACCAGATGAGCTTTAAAATTGACTAGTTGAGATATTAAATGTTATAAAAGGGAAACATATGAATATGCGATTCATCGTATTAAAGTTGGTCATTAGAGTTCGTCATCAGTCTTAAGATCTTGATATATAAATCTTGATAACTGCAGATTGTTTTCTTCTAAATTCTTATCATTTATCTTTAATCTTTGTATCCGAGCCTCATAACTGACCTTTGTCACTGTCCATTTGAGATAGATATACATGATGTCTACCCTGACCTAACTTATTCCCATCATCTGTCATCATTATTTATTCGATATGTTCTTAGCTTAGTAACGACCCCAATTTCCATACCCCAAACAAAAGCAAACCCCTGAGCAAAAGCCATGGGTGTTGTGTCTGGCTAAAAAGTCGATATTTTATTTTAATTAAAATAAATGCTAAACACGTTGCGTGCTGTCAAGCACTCCATTCTAAAACAATAAATAAATGCCCTAGCAACAGCAACAAGAAAGCAGTTCATGGCCATTTGTAACATTAACTAGAACATGCGAGACCTATTTAACAATGCTCAGAGCCTTACCCTCCAGAAATTCATCAAGAGAATCCGTCCAATGCTTGTAGTTCTCATACTGAGTGCCCTTGTACCAGATCAAAGTGCTCTCCACATTGTCAACGGGCGGCAGTGGACGAAAGCCAAGACCTAGTTCGAATATAAGATTATTGATACAGATTTATACATATACATATATAGTTATGGAGCTGACCTGGATTTGTGCCAATGATGGAGCTTTCCAATTTCCATTTGGGTATGCGCGGATCCAGAGTTAGAAAGAAGGCCCACATGCATATGGCCACCAAGGCGGCGAGCACGCCATAGAAAATTATATAGAATATGCCGATCTTAGCTATAAGAGAAAGACAGAGAGAGTGAGAGATAAATAATTAGTTAACCATATCAAAGCAAATAGAATTAGAGTCATATAACAATTATTAAAGATTCATAGAAACACAAGAAATGTCGCCCCGACAATTAAGCTGATTAAATTAAGCACTTAAGAACGCGACTCAGCTGAACCAAGAGGCGGCAATGGGTTAGGCTCTTAATTGATAAAGCGCGGAGTCTATGCGGCTTCTCTTCAGACTGACCAATTCGTAACAAGCGAGTCGTATAAGATCGAACCGATGCTCGCAACACTTAACCAGAGACTGTTTCAGAGCTGTGAATCATAAGCGATATAAAATCCAAGTCCAAGTATAAGACACGTAAGCGAAGATGTTTGGACGCTCAAGAGCACGCAAGTAAACAAATGCTATCTCTCTCTCTCTCTCTCTCTCACTCCGCTCTCTTCATTGATCTTGCGCTCACGCACACATTGAGAAGGCGCGTCGTTCTGTGCACATAACCTCAACTTGGTCAACATCTTTGGCAATTGAAAGAGAGTGAGGGAGAGAGAATGATGGAGAGAGCGACTGGAAGTGGCAGTGAGAGTAAAGATTGAGTTTGGCATTAAGTGAGGGAGTGAAGGTGTGTAGGAGTGGAAGAGGTAAGTTGTTTGCAAAAGAGAGGCTTGGGTTTGTTGTAGGGAGATAAAAAAATATTAAGATATGAAATAATTAAAATGTAATAAAATACAAACATTCGTATTAATAGGTAATCAAATCAAATACATATTTATACATAATAAATAATACTAAACATAAGTATTGCATTTACTTATTAATTTAATACATATATTTTAAATAATTTAAATATATTCATATAGTTTCAAATAGGAATACACATATTTAAAAAATTAATTAATGAAAATAAATATTAAATAAAATATAATTTAAATAGAAATGTAAGGCATAATATGAATGCCTTCTAAAATATACCTAAAGTATTTTTATTGTATTTTAAATAATATTATTCTTACAATTTTGAACATATTTTCTATAATAGTAATATTTAGCTCTGAGGATTACATAAGATTTATTTATTGATGTTTATTAAATTTATAAACTTATCAATATTCCAAAGTAAGGAATTGATTATATAATTACAAATATTCATATGACTGCATTATCCAAATTATTTTTCATGCAGTTTTCACACTGTTTGCACAAAGTTGACGTTTCAAGCCGCTAATTGGGTTATTTCATTAAGAATCATGTTTGATGGCTAACTTGGCCGGATTTATCAATCAGTTATTTAACGTCATGTTAGTTTAGCGCCTGCCTAATGGATAGGTAGCACTCCCATGGTACATCTAACATGTTGAAAGTATGTCGAGCTGGCGCCAGGTGGCAACGCCGACAGAGCAGGTGTAAATTGAACGACATATAATTAAAATGTTTTGCAATCACCAAACTAAATAAAGAAAGAAAATTCATAACTCTATTTTTCGCTGGGGTCATTAACTAACTAGTTGAGTGATTTATTCACGGGGTATACCTACTTCAACTAGCTGCAGAGTCACGTTTTAGTGACTTTAGCGCTAACTGAAGATTTATTGAAGTTAATAACTATTATATGAACTAAATGAAGATATCAATCAATCAGCCGGAAATTGCTTTTCATACATATATATATATTTAATAGGTATAGTTCCCGCTTAACTTACCCCATGAGGTGCGGTCTCTGCCCATAACCGTTCCCTCCTCGCTATTATATAGAAATTTAGCTAGATTGAACGGTTCGGGTTTGCGTAAATGCTGCATTTCATCGAATGTCTCCGAATGTGTCATTGGAACGGGTTTCGACATTTTGGTGGGTGGTTTTCGTTTATA